GGGCAGGGGGGAAGCTGCAGCCAGGTGACTAGGTGACCTGTCCTGGTGTGCGGGGCTCCAGCTCCCAGCAACCTTCCACCCACTCTGTCCTCCCAGCATGGTGAGCAGCTGCCTGCAGTTGGCTGTGTGTGGAAGGCAGCTGGGAGGTCGACCCCATGCACTGGGGCAGGAGCCACCCAGCTGCAGCTTCCCTCCCCACTTAGATTCGCACAGCAGGCATGGGAGCAGGAGGAGGAGGAGGGGGCTGCCAGAGGTGAGGGCTGCAGCTGTACTGGGAGCAGCCCTGCTGGGAAGCTGTGCATGCTGGCTGGGGCCAGCAGGTGTGGACAGGAGCAGGGTGCAGGCTGCCCTGGGTAGGAGCAGGCAGGACTTGGCCTCGGGTGGGAGCGGGCAGGGCTTGGCCCCATGCGGAGCACTGTGAGGTAGTCGTGGGCTGGATCCAATCAGTTGGGAGGCCAGATCAGGTCTGCTGGCTATATTTTTGCCCGCCCCTAGGCTAGGCCCTGATTAAGCTAACATAGTTGTTGGCAATAAATATAGGGTCAAAAATGTGTGTAATCAAGACGCTAATTATTTTGGGGGAAAAAATCCGTACACATTTTCATCAGAAATGTGTGCCACTTGGCCAGGTTAACACAGTTGAAATGTACTAGTCTTTGATTCATTAATTTGTACTGAGGCACTGTGTTCCATATCCCACCTCAGAAAATGTTCCGCATCTAATGCTCGATTCTGCTGTAGTACATGCATCAAGTTTCCGCTGAACTTTAGTGGGAATTCTGCAGCCTAAACCCGGGTTGCAATTTTCTCTTAGCATGATTTACTTAACTGTAAAGTATCTTAAGATAACTAATGTAAATAGACACATTATATATGTTAGCAGTTTGTAGTCACGTTTAAACGAGGTGTTAGTAACAGCTGAAGCTACACGTGTGGGAGAAATTCTGGATCCAAAATTTTCTTCAGTTTTGATTGTTCAGTATATAACGTTTAAGTAACGTTAACAAATTAGATTAAATTTTATTCTGGATCCTTAATTTGTATCTTCTTTAGAATGTTAATTTTGATGGGAAATCTAAGGGAAAAAAAAAAAGAGTACATCCAATGTCTCCTTCTACTAGAAAAATATCAGGGTTCTTGATTATTCTTGGGTAGAATGTAGAAAATAAATGTGGATTTTTGTTAAGTTTGTCAGTCACGTCGCGTTTTATGATGTTGTTGATTCTGCAATTTTTATTCTACCAAAACTCTGTTCTTGGTGCTTGCAGTAACAGTTTAAAATTTTGATTTTACTTTCAATATTTCCTTTGTTGTCCTTACATTTTTCTAGTAGTTTCTTTTCTTCACTAGCAGTTTGTAGTAGTTAATTCTTATTTGCTTGTTTGCAGAGGTTAAGAAAATATTTTGGAGAGAAGACATGAAGTATGCTTGTAGTATCTCTCTTTAGGAAGTCTAAGAATCTAATGTAGTTCTGAATAGTTTGACTCCTTTCACCAATTAATTGATTGCTTTCTGCTAGCTTCCAGTCAGGAGAGGGTCAATCTCAAAACACATTTTCCTTGAGAACGATATTTCTAAATTTACACCCCTTGTACTTCAACATACAGTTTGAAGATAGAGTTCAATAAGTCTGTACCCCCTAACAGCTAATTGACTTGTGCACTTGTGTATATAGAAAATGGGGAAAACAAACATTTGGGGGATTAGAAAAAGAAAGCGTAGAGTTTGGACAATGTAGGGAAAACCTTCAATTTAGGCCCATAAAACTTAAACTGAACTTCAGAAAAATAATCTAAAGGTGCACAACTCAAACTGTTGATGACCACTTACAAGTTGCATTTTCTGATGAAGAAATATCTAGGTACACATGCAGTCTAGCTCTAGCAGACTAATGGAATTGGCAGGCCTTTGATATTACTCTGGCGAGCCACATGTTGTGCACCCCTGCTGTAATACTTTCTCTTTACAGTGAGTTGAAATGATTTGATCTTGTGCAGATAACAAGAATAACAAGTCCTTTAAAGCTTATTCTATTAAGAGCCATAGTGTTTTTCTTGAGACAGTTTTGAAAATAGGCATTATTCTTGCTTATATGGACACAACTTTATCTGCTTACTATACTTACTATCATTAGGTGGGGGTATGTATCCCCTGTAGAGGTCATTCAGACCAAAACTTTAGCAAGACTCTGAAAGGGTTTGGATATTTATGTGGACAATTAGAATATCTAGAATTCTTTAATTTTTAATGAACACTTTTAAAAGTGTTTGTGACTTGAGCCAATCTCTTCTGGAATTCAGTATGTGAGCTAATGGGGGAGGCAGATTATCCTACATCTGTCTGCTATCAGGCTTTTAAAACCTACCTTTTCTGAAGTAATCTAGCATCAGCTGTTGTCACAGGCAGTGTACTAGACTAGAATGACTATGGATCTGATCTAGTATGGTAATTTGTACATGGCTGTAATTAAAAAATAAGATAATGTAAAATATTTAGAAACAATGTATGTTGAGTTATATCCCCCTTTCTCCAACCATTGTATATCTTGTTGCGTGCAAAATCTTGGCTTTGTTCATGATGATTTTATGTATAAAGCACAGCTTTAAGGTTGGGACTTAAACCTGCTTGATTTTTCAGTTGCACAAGATGGAAATTAATGTCTCTGTTATGTTATTTAAGATGTTCTCAAATTATGAAGAGAGAATTCCCATGTTGAAAGATTATATAGCCCACTTTTTAAGACAGTGCATCAGTTCTGTTTTCAGATTAAAGTAATAATCTCAAATCTTTAATTTCAATATTTGTTTAAAATTTTCTTTGTGCAGAAATATAAAAAAAGAAATTCTACAACAATGTGTATTGGTACATGTGTACTTTTCTTGATATGGTCTCCAGAATGTTAACCCTTTGACTAAACAGTTGCAATGAGAAACTCGTGTTTGTAATATTTTGATTTCCAAGTTGAAATAATAAATGTATGGAATAGGTTAGACAGCTTATGTTTTGGAAAGTAATTTATGTACAGTGAACATAGAAAACCTAATTTAATTGAACTGTCTTGAGTTTCTTCTTGTTCTTACTTTTCTTGTTGACTTCAGTATAGTATGTGAATAATTTACTTCTGTAGTAGGTATGTAATAACTGAGAAATGCAGTTTTATAATTATCCACTAGAGGGTCTGGAAAACACTCTTCTCAAAGTCCTTCTTGCATCTTTTTTTCCCCTTTGCTGTGCTTATTTTCATGTAATTTTTTTCCCTCAAAGAAGTAGTTCTTAACACTTTTATAAAACTCTCACAATTTATTTCAAATCCTCAAATGCCTGCACAGAACAGTCTGTAGTATTTTGACAAATAAGAGCTTTGTGAGACATGATGTAGTTTAATTGTAGAAGAAATTATGATTTCCACAGATTTTTATGTTAAAAATTTAAATTGTAGTACAGAAAATACAGAATCAGAATAAGGCCATCTATATAATTGAAATTTATGAGTAATAATCCCTAATAAATTATCCATATAATTTCTTTAATCGTGTGGGGGTTGTGAGATGTTGGAAGAACTCTGAATAAATTCTAATATGCTTCAGTCTTTATTCCCCCTCCCTAAAGAAGAAATCCCTGTGGCTACTAGGCCTGTGCGAAGCGGCTAGTATTCACTTTGGATTCGGGGAGCAGTGATTTTAATTTGATACGGGTTTTTTTGAATCGCTGTCCTGAATCAGATTCAGCTGAATTGATTCGGATGCTGCCAAATCCAACGCAGACACTGAAATGCTCATTATACTATGTTTAGCACCAAGAATAGACACTGTTGCTTTATACAGACCTTTGTGTTTTTGCCTTGGCTTTGTTGATCACACTCAATTATCAAATGAATCAGACAGGCCCATCTCCACCAGCCCGGCAATGGCTGCCCTGCCTGCCCTAGCTCCTGGCACTTAAAAACAAACAAACAAACAAATAAATAAAGGCCTGGCTGAGTGGGTGATGCTAGGTGGGTGGTGGGGGGAGATCCCTGCTGCCTGCCGTGGCTCCGGCCCTTTAAGAAAAAAATAACTGAGAAAACCCTGGACTCGCTGCTTCTGCCTGGGGTGGGTGATCCCCACTGCCCTGAGCCACGTGGGGGGTTCTGCACGAGCCCCATGAGGCCACTGCAGGAGCAGAGAGTCTCGGGGCTTTTCTTGGGTTTTTTTTGCTTAAAGGGCCAGAGCTGCAGTGGGTGGGGCAGCTGTGGGGGAAGTGTCAGGGGAGGGGGGGGAACGACTCGTGCAGAGGCCCCCCGGGGAGCAGGCAGGGGATGGGGGCTGGCAGGGGTTGCCTCATGGTTTTTCCCCTGCCCCTACTGACCAGCTCTGAGTCTGGCTGCAGCTCCCTGCTGCAGCCTCTGGGTGCTGCCTGAATCATCAAAGCTGTCCGAATCTTTTCCGAAGATTGGGAGAGCTATGAATTGATTCGGACCTTTTAATTGGTCCCCTGATTTCAATTCGGAGAGTCGGCCACCGAATCGGGCCAAATCTGCACCAGATTGAATCGCCACCCAAAACTTCGCACAGCCCTAATGGCTACTTTTAGTAGTAGTAAAATACCATGTCTCTTTGAACACTGACAGTTGTTGTTGTTGTTGTTTTTTAATGAACTGAATGTATTCAGTAAAAAATATTGAAAATGTAAGATCATTGATGTAAAATAAAATATTGTTGAAATAGTGTGAGATGAAAAGATACCTAATTAAGTATCTAACTTTTTTTTTCTGGAATTGACACTTGCTCAAGTAAGCCTGTTGCTTTAGGCAAACAATTGACTTCATTTTTATTCATAAAAACAAATGGAAGCATGCCATAAAAGCAAATACGATTGCTTTTATGAATAAATGCTGCTTGTTTGAAGGTGGTTTTTGCAAGTTAAGGTTCATAAATGCAGGTATTGGAAGAAGTGGTACCCTATGACTTAATGAGATGCCACATTTTGTAATTTTAATATGCTACTTCATCTTTTTCCAGGGATATCCTAATAACAAATTTGGATGCATCAATGAACTACAGTGAACTCTGTGATGAAGTGAGGGAGATGTGTAGTTTACAGCAGGAACAGCCGATTACCCTCAAGTGGATTGATGATGAAGGTATTAAAGACACTTAAGTTCTTTTGTTTATCTTTATTTTTTCATATAATGTGTGGTATGACTAATGTAAACAAGATGGGAGGCATTGATAACATTTGGATACCTTGGGTTTCAGATAATCAAGTAACTTTTTTCATTTTGATTCATAGATATCAGGGGACATAACCCTGTTTCACATAAGAGGGAGCTTTAGATAAATGAGTCTCAAATCATCAAGGTTGCACTGTACTTGAATTCACTTTAATCCTTTTAAATAATGAACTTTTTCAAAGTGTAATTATCTGAAATTCTGTTAAACTAGATTGATCAGGAAGAGATTTGGTGCAAAGAAGAATGGCAAAATGATTCCTTTGCTTAACTGGCTGTTCTATTTTCTTATTTCTTTTTCAATGATGGGAGTAGTAGATGAAGCTATGAATATAGGGGTCTAAAATTGTGGGTCTAAGAGATGTTTCTTACCACTATAAGGCAGGGGTTGGCAACCCGTACAGCTTGTAGGTAGGATTTGGTCCACAGCCCAAGACATTGGTGGCAAGTAAGTGGTGGGGCAAGCAGTATCTAGGTCAGCAGCATATTGATGGTAAAAGAAGCAGTGTCCAGGTCAGAGGTGCAGTGGCAGTGGATAGGTTGTATGCAGTGGCCTGCCTGCCTTCAGAGTGAGCTGAACTAATTTAGTTGGCTGCTCATAAAGGTTTCCAACCCCTGCTGTACTTTCTATTAATAAAGCTGACAAAGCCTTGTAGCAGAAAAGGGTTTAATTTTGGTTTTGTGCTTAGAAAAATCCGTTTTCCAGGATTATAAAAACTAAGAGGTTATTCAAGCCATAGTACTGCACTAAAAAATAGGTGTATTTTTGCATCTGTATGGACCCCTAACAGAGTCAGTTGCAGTGTCAGGCCTTGGAGCAGAGAGTGAAAGGAAACAGATCTTTGGGCAGGTCTAAATAATACTTCTGAAGAAAAGAGAGCATATGTTGCTCTTGAGCTTGACAAAGGGTAAACTGGCATGTTCAACTTTGTACAGAAACTGAAATACTAACCAGTCGGGGTGCACTAACTTAAAGATTTTCTTGGCTGATACTGATAGCTAATTTATTAACTAGCCATATTGGCTGATACGGATCCGATAGCCAATTTACAGGAATGCAGCCTGGCAGCTTGGAGAGCAGCATTCTGCTGGTAAGTCTGTGGTGCTGAGAAGGGTGGAGGGGCAGATCAAGGCACCCACAGTGAGAGAGGGAGTGGGGCAGGCTCAGGTGCTGCCCAGCCAGGGCAGTCAGCGCAATGTCAGGAGTGGGATGGAGCTGTGGGTGCCTTGTCCAAGGGGGTGTGGGGTGTGGGCGGCTCCCTGCTGCTGCACACACCCCCAGGGGAGGCATGGGGGGCATGTATCCCCTGGATCTGTATGTGGGGCAAGGCTGGGCTGCCTGCTGCAGGCTCAGGGCCACGGGCAGTGCCAGCCTCTTAGCGGCAGGGGGTGCTGGGCCAAGGCTGTGCTCAGGGTGGGCTAAGCTGCATGGGATGGGTGGCGGTGCCATTGGGAGGGGTGGCTACAGTGGACTTCTAGTAACTAGTTCTATGATGTTGAAAAATATTTGTTTAAAAATGTCTTCAGGCATCTGGAAAATCGATTTATTTTGTCACAGGCTTCCTTTATCTGGAGGGGAGGAGAGATGCTCCAGTAAGCTTTCTCCATAGGGAAATTGACTGATTATTGTAAACATGAGGTGGTCCTCCCTCTGGCTAACAAAGCTGATCCACCACCAACGTATTTAGCTGCATATCTAGATTTTGAAGTCCCTAGAATAGATGATCTTGCTTTTTTTTTTTTTTTTTTTTTTTTTTTTTTGCAAGGCAGTTAATTAGGATTAATCAGTAACAATTCAGGATTTCCATGTCTTCTCCAGTGCTTTTATCTCTTCATGCCTTGGTGGCTTCACTTAGTAATTCAGCATGAGTTGATTTTTCAAATTCATTTTTTCCTCTTGTTATTGCTGATAAAGTCAAGCAGTTTAATTCATTTCTAGAATAACTTAAAGGAAGGTATAAGACCAAGGAGAAGAGTGATAGAGGCTTGTGAATGCAGCAGCAATTACTGATATTATCCTTGGTTTTATCTGTGTTTATGTGGGTTGTATTTAACCATACTTCCCCAAATTGTTCTTTTGGAACATGATAGAAAAATAATTATTTTTGTTTCAAACACTTACTTGCAAGCAGCTTGGGAGGGGGGAGTGCTCAATTTTCCCATTGCATGACACTTTTAAAGTTACTGAATTTTTTTTTTTCCTGTCCTAAACTGGGAGAAAGGAAACAATGTCAAATTATTGCAAATCAAAAATTGGGAAACTTTGAGTATTTTCTTTTTATTTCAACTTTTTAAAAACATTTTTACCATGGGTTTTGAAACAAAAAATTGATTTCTACATTTTATTCCTGTCAACCTGTCACTAAGAATCTTTGAACAAGCCAGTTAACATGTCAGTGTCTTAGTTTACCAGCTGGTCATAAAATTGGGCTGACTGTACTTCCTGACTCAATGTAAGGCATTTTGACATGTGTGTCTGACACTGAGACGCATGCAGTTGTATAAGTGACGAAATGCACATGAACATGGAGAAAATGGGGGCGGTCTGCTTTTGAGCTAAAACACATCAAAGGTGTTAGTTCAAAGGCACACCATCACCATTTTCTCTGCACTGACATGCATTTTGCTGCTTGTACAACTGCAAGCGACACAGCATGGTGCGCGTTGCTTGCATGCTGATGAACGCGACAAATCTCTGGTGCGTCGCAGCATGAAAAAGCATGTGTATAAATGCCCTGTGTGTTTACAGTCCATTAGGAAAGTAGTTTGAGCCACAAGTAAAAGGCATTACTGACTTTGAAGGCTTTGACATTCAATAGCCAGTAAACAGCTTTTTCCCTTTTTTTAAAAAAAGTGTACGTTTTAATGGTAGAATCATGAAGGTCAGTCTGTTCCTATGCTGTTCAAAATTCTTTCAATTCTCATATGCATTCAAGAAAAAATGATAGAGTCTAGGCTCTATTTGACTTATAATCAAGGCATCCGAGTCGCACAGGTTCTGAAAATTTTACCCACAGTCATGGTTCTGCTTCAGAATGAGTATCTATTTACCTTCAAGGTAATAAGACAGCTATACTATGGGAAAACATGATATTCTTACTTCTGTTATGAGCTTGTAATATTTTGTGTGGTGCATCTGACAAAGTGGTTGCAGTAATGCATACTTTCCTCATTCAATGGGTTATTCTACTTGGCAGTCACATGACTAAGTCACTGGTCTGGCTACAGCATTCATTGTATAATTAGTCTAGCTTTAGAGATGTACCGATATATTGGATTGGCACCGATGAATGGGAAAATTTAACATTATTGGCAATTGGCTTTTTTTGGCTGCTGTAGCCAATAATGTTCACTGATAAATATAAATCAATTATGCCTTCTGGTCACAGCCCCTGGGTGCCTGGGTTCCCTCAGGAAATGGTGGGTTTCCCCTGTAGGCGGGCAGCATTGTAGTTTGCAAGGGGTCCTGCTTGGAGCAGCTGGGAGTGAGACACAGGGGGCACCATGTGCATGTGTGCAGCTGCATGCATGCGCATGTCTAGGAATGCAGCTGGGAAGCATGGAGAGCAGCTCCCTGCAGGTGAGTCTATGGAGGGGAAGGGGTGTGTTGGGGGGTGCAGATCAAGGGCCCCACAATGAGGGAAGATGTGGGGCTGGGGTTGGGGGTGCTGCCCAGTCAGGGTGGTGCATGGGATCTGGGGTTAGGGTGGGGTGTGGGACACAGCCGCATGTGGCTTGTCCAGTGGGAAGGGGCGGGGGCGTGGCTCCCTACCACTGTACTCACTGCCTTGGGGGGGCATGTGCCCCCCCCCCCAGGTATGTGCATGAAATCATAGAAGTAGGGTCAGAAGGGACCTTGTAGATCTTCTAGTCCGACCCCCTGCCTGGGCAGGAGGGAAACTGGGCTCAAGTGACCCCAGCCAGGTAGGCATCGAACCGCTTCTTAAAGACCCCCAGGGTAGGAGCCAGCACCACTTCCCTTGGAAGTTGGTTCCAGATCCTAGCCGCCCTAACTGTGAAGTAGTTCTTATGGATGTCTAATCTAAACCTACTCTCCAACAACTTGTGGCCGTTGTTCCTTGTTATCCCGGGGGGCGCTAGAGGAAACAAGGTCTCCCCCAAACCCTTCTGGTCCCCCCCTAGTGAGTTTACAGACGGTCACCAGGTCCCCCCTCAGCCTTCTCTTGTGAAGGCTGAACAGGTTCAGGTCCCGTAGCCTCTCATTGTAGGGTCTGCCCTGCTGTCCCTGGATCATGCGGGTGGCCCTCCTCTAGACCCTCTCAATGTTGTCCACATCCCTCTTGAAGTGGGGCGCCCAGAACTGGACACAGTACTCCAGCTGTGGCCTGACCAGTGTCACGTAGAGGGGGAGGATCACCTCCTTGGCTCTACTTGAGATGCACCTGTGGAAGCACAATAGGGTTCGGTTAGCCCTGCTGACCATGACCTCGCATTGTCAGCCCATGTTCATCTTGGAGTCAGTGATGACTCCAAGATCTCTTTCTGCCTCCGTGCTCTCAAGAAGGGAGGTTCCTTCCCATCTTATAAGTGTGCTGCTGGTTCCTACTGCCCAAGTGCAGCACCCTGCTATTGTCTGTAGTGAAACACATCCTGTTTTTGTTAGCCCACCCTTGCAACCTATCCAGGTCTTTCTGCAGTCTTTACCTCCCTACTAATGTGCCCACCTCACCCCAAATTTTGGTATCATCAGCAAATTTGAACAGGTTGCTTTTTACCCCGTCGTCCAAATTGCTGATAAAGAAATGGAACAGTGCGGGCCCAAGGACCGAGCCCTGGGGGACTCCGCTGCCCACTTCCCCCCGGGTTGAATATGACCCGTCCACCACCACCCTCTGAGTACGACCCTTCAGCCAATTAGCAATCCATCTGACCATGTAGACATCGATGCCACA